TCTAGTGTTTTCTTTTACTGTTTTTCATTTAGAGGTATCACTTGAGGATGGTTCCTAATAATGTTAAATGCTGTCTAATAGGAGAGTGATACTGGAAATTAATGAGATATTAAAACAAGGTTTTAATATGTATAAATTTACATTGTTTTAAAAAGTGTTACATGTCTAAAACGATAACTCAATATGAAGAATGTGAATGAAATTGGAGTTAATTGAAAAAGGATCCGTTATTTTTTGCCTCATTTTATTCTATTTACTTATCTTTTCTCCTTGTTACTATGTGAAGTGGTATATTGCTGATTGTAAATTTGTTGTTTGGTTTGCGTTAGAACCGGAGATAAATGTTAGTTTGTTCCTTGATTTTTGGTGCCCACTTGTAATATAAATTGGATTGCAGATAGGGGGCAGGGTTTAAAAAGAATATTTTCTTCTTCCTGCTCCTTTTCAGGCATAGTTGCAGTGCTATACCGAGAGAAAGTGTGGTTGGTTTGTCTGAAAGAACTCTGTGGAAACTGTTGAACCAAGTGTGAAATAAATGAAATGTGTTGGATATTACGGCATTGAAGAAAAATTAGATTGAAAGATTTTTTTTTATTATTATTTTTAATGATTTCACCCAGAGTTTAATTACTAATCATGTAAAACTGGAAGTGTAAGTAAAAGAAAAAAAAAAAAAAAGGAAAAGTATTATTTGTCCAAAAAGACAAAACAAAAAACCCCATAAAACACATTAGTATGTAAATCGCACAAACCTCGAAGTACTTAAACTCTACATCTGCTGACAGGTGTTCAGACCTTAGGTAATCCAGCGAGAAAGAAACGTAACCACGAGATGCCAACAAGGCAGAGCGATACTCCAGCAGCCCTACACCGCCTCCCCACATGTCTAGCAGCGTAGGGAAGGGTCCAGGACCTGAGGGGAAAAAACAGAATCAAACACAGTATTTTAGTCAGTTTTTTCTACTCTTAGTTCTGTTTGTGTCACGGCTGAGGCAGCAGTCGTGTTGTGGAGTGAAAGGAGGACCCAAAATGCAGGCAGCCGACTGATGATATGAGTGAGGGTTTATTTACAGGTGACAGTGGCAGAACAGACAACGAAGCATGAGAAAACAACTGAAGAAACCTAAACTGGGAGAACTAAATGACAAACCTGAGAGCATACAAAAGGGGTGTGGGGCAGAGACAGGAACGGAACACCATAGAACGCAGACGAGCCGACAATGAACACAGACCGACACCCACTAAATATACACACACAAAGGTAATCGGGTAATCACACACAGGAGGGAAGAACAGCTGAACCCAATACACATGAGGACCGGAGGAGACAAGCTGAACACAATGACAACAGACACAGACTTTCAGAACAAAACAGGAAATCTAGAACCCGAACCGGACACAAGGGGGGAGGACACAGAATAACTAGAACAGAGGAAAATAATCACAAAACACAAAACGCCCAGGACCATGACAGTTTGATGTCAGGAAAAGAGGATATTCCTCATGTAGTAATTTCGGGGTCAGAAGTGTCACCCATCCATCTCACAAAATCCAGATTATTAAAAAAAAAAAAAAAGAAGAAAAAAAGAAGAAGTAAATGTTTTATTTCCAGTGTACCTGGTGGTATAAACAGGGTCCCCTGCACTCCTTGCTTATTAATATCAATTCTCTTGACACCAGGAGCCATGTACCATCTCTCTGCGAGTGCTGATGCCAGAGGGGTCCGGTCCCTGAAGTCCTCGTGTCCACTGTGGACTGAGATGTTGACCAGCATTGGTGTGCACACGTTTATCTTCCTTAACCTGACCAGTAATGATACGAGTTATTGAACAGAATAAACAAAGGGTAGTCCACCCACACACACACACACACACACACACACACACACACACACACACACACACACACATTAGTCATGGTGTTAGTTAGTCATATGTCCTTCAATGCACAAAATTAAACAAATATCTATTACTCCTTTCTTTTCCCTGTACAGTGTTGCCAAGATGAGTATTGTAATTCCTTATTATGACATTACAGGCTGCTGGTTTTTTTTAAATGGAGACAGGATTTTTTTTAAACAAAGACTTTCACCGTTGGCTTTATGCAGCCTAATTATGTCTGTTGTTACCTCCCGAAAGGCGTACAAGTCAGTCCTTGTCATGCCGAAACTGGTATAATCGACATAAATATTGATGTGATAACTTAAGCTCCTTTACACGCCACGAGCTCGGCAAGATGACCACCGAATCCTTACCTGAGGCCTTCGCGGCTGCCTGGGACCGGCCGCATGCTCCACAGCAAGCCCATGGGCTCTTTTCCCGTATACGTGCCTCCAAAACTCAAATCCTCGGTAACTATAAGAAAATAAAAACCATTTTATTCCATTTGACTTGGTTTCATTTTTATTTCATATCTTTTTACATTACCAGTCCATCTGATTGTATCATAATTAACTCTTTCTAGTGTTTTCTTTTACTGTTTTTCATTTAGAGTTTTACTTACTTACTTTACTGATTAATACCACAGTAAAAAGTCTGTGAGCAGAGCTCACACTGACAATAATCAGTTACCATCTTAATTTCTTTCCCACCCTTTTTTAAATTAACAAAACAGGACAGCATATCTGTGCCAAGGACACAGAAGACTGACAAGAACAACACAACCTGGAAAACAATCACTGTAACAGGAGGATATCAACATATGGAATATAAGGATGAGTGTGCTGTGTGAGTGGGTTTAACTATATTCTGCCAGTGATCAAATGGGACAAACTAAAATCTCAAAATCGCTTCCAAACCATATCACAGAAATAGGATCCGGAAGATGGCCTTTACCAAAAATCAAAAATAGCCCCCATATCCTGAGAAAGACCCTGTTTATTAGGTGGCCATCGGTAAATTAATTTTCAGTGTTGTATATAATGTAAACGAAGTCAGTAGTTTGATCATCTGCCCATAGTCCTGCCCTTCCACCTCCTGGGATTCACGAATAGGACTTGATCAAGGTCACCCAGTGACACTTGTTAAGAGACTAGCAGGTGATACTCACCTTGAAGAGACACAGACACACACATACATCAATGTTGTGTGAAGGTACAATAAATGGATTTAAATATTCCCACAGCAATGAAAGCATCATAATTTCAGCAATTATTAATACAGCTACTACTAATACTACTACTGAGTACTACTACTACTGAGTACTACTACTACTACTACTACTACTACTACTACTGAGTACTACTACTACTGA